ATTTTCTCCTTCCTTTGTGTGAAGACCGAGCAGTTTTACCAGACTCCCAGGGTTCCCTTCCACTCTGGGTTGAATGTGAGTGACAGACATTCAGCTAGAACACTAGAAAAACTATTTCCTGAGCCACTCGCCTTTAGCCCTGGAAAGTGTTGGATTTGTCCTTCGTCTTTGTCACAGTAGAAACTGCTGAGAGATTCAGAAGTCGGGCTTTGGAGTTAGACAGACATGGGTAGAAATCTGAGCTCTCTCACTTATTAGTGTGGGACGTAGAGCAACCTTTAAAATCCTTCCAAACCTCAGACTTCTCATGCGTGATGTGAGGATTGTAATACAGCCCACCTAATAGGGGTTTTTGAGAATTAAAAATATTATTAAATGAACAGCATTTAGTAAGATGCCTGACCATTGAAAATAACAAAGCGTTTATTATTGTTGTTATTATTAAACATCTTTTCTGCACCTTCTGACTGGGGACATCATGTCATCAGAAATACCTAGGATGGGACAAATTCCTCACGGGCTGGGCCAAGGGTGCAATAATGGAGGAGTGAAGAAGGAAGAGATGAAGGCAGAAAGTCCCCAGGAGCCCAGCATGGTACAGGCTGAGCTAGTGCTGCAGAGCCTCCTTGGAGCAGCCACAGAGCTTGCATCTGGCCCTAGAAGAACCTCTTCCAGCTGGCGGGACCAGCTGTAACAGTGGCCAGGGGATTTCCCAGGGCCACTGGGAACTCCTAGGAGTTCATCTGGACCAGGTCTGCCTAGACAGGGATTATAACAGGGACCCTTCCCAACTAGCAGGTGATTTAGCCCTCAGTCAGAAGCTCAGGCATTTGTTTGATGGAAGGTGGAAGGCCCTGTGCTGGGCCAGTGACTGTCAGGGGTGGGTGGGTGGCTGGAAAATAGCAAATAAAACAATATGGTAACACAGTAACCACATACTATGTGAAGCTATAATATGGGTATCTGTGGTAGGCAATTCTAATGTAGAGAATAATTCTAAGGTGCCATTCTCCCCCCATGCCATAAGCACACGGCCTCTGCCTGGGTTTCTCATTGCGGAATCTCTTCCTGGTCTTCTCATGCCCAGACAGAGGGAAGGACTCCTCCTGTAACACCGGCTCTCCTGCCACCTCCTCCCTGCAGCCCTCCTCAGCCTCCTCTGCACAGGCTGGCTTCCTCTCTGGTGCTGCAGCGCTCTGCACTCGTCAGTGGTACCTGCCTACAGGTATTGGTGTCCTTGTCTCACCACCCTACATCACTGTGAGCTCCCCAGGAGCAGGCTCCCTGTCTGACTCACCTGTGATCCTCCACCTCCCACCCTGTAGTGCCCCAAGCATCGAGGACAATCACTGGCTGCCCCTTAACCCAGAAATGCTGCCGAGACAGGAGGCCATGGCCCAAGCCCCTGGAATGGGTCATTACTATGTCAGCACAAAGACCTTTGCACAAATGAAGGCTTTAAAAATGCAGTCCTAGTCACGTGGAGGAGGGCTCATAGGATTCCCAGGAATCTGGAACATTCTCTTGAGAGTTTTCCCTCGTCTCTGTTAAAACTCACACCTATGGCCCAAATAACAACAAAAAAATGGGTGTAAATTATTGAAATAACTTGTGCATGGGGGAACAGGCCCCCCTCCCCCAGAGCTGCCAGAAGCTTCAGGTGAGGGTCCCAAATGCCAAAATGTCTGGTATCAGAGAGGATGGCCAGTGACCTGGGGACACATGCTGTTTGCAGTGTCACCCAAGGAGCAGCAGTGTTGGCCCCACAAAGTGACGAGGACGCTGGCTTCCCACGCTGGGCAGGCGCTGTGTCTGATGAAGGGAATGCCTCGCAGCATGTGCTGTCCGTCTCCTCGTGTCAGCTTACCTGGCTTTGCTGGCAAGTGGCCACTTGAATTTCTTTAAAGGTGGAATCTCTCAGTGGGGTCTAATCTGTTCAGAAATATCAAAAGAGTATCCTTGGGAATGGATGGGATTCCAGAGCCATCTGGTAATCCTCTTAAAACAACTCCCGGATGTGTCTCAGCACATCCGCCACCTTGAATGCAGGAGGCTGGTTCAAATGGAGGAGCATCGCTCTACTGCACCGTTTTTTTTTTCGGCCTAAAGTGCAAAAGGGGATACCTTTCATGTAAATAAATCAATTGCAAATGTCTAGTCATGCTGAGCCCTGTCTCGTGCTGTGGATACAAAGGAACCAAAGGCCTTTCTCCCCGCCCAACACACACATAACACACACACAAAATCATAAAATCATTCATACCCACAACACATACAACACATAACACACACACAAAATATATACACACAACACACACCAAACATGCCCACAAACCTGTGTTCAGAGATAGATCCTGCCAGTGGGTTCGTGGTCTCTCTGACTTCAAGAAAGAAGCCGCAGACCTTTGCAGTGAGTGTTACAGCTCTTGAAGATGGCACGGACCCAAAGAGTGAGCAGTAGCAAGGTTTACTGTGAAGAGCAAAAGGAGGAAGCTTCCACAACCTGGAAGGGGACCCCAGCGGGTTGCTGCTGCTGGCTGGGGAGGCCAGCTTTTACTCACTTATTGGCCCCGTCCATGTTCTGTTTCCATCCTATCAGAGTGCCCTTTTTTCAATCCTCCCTGTGATTGGCTACTTTTAGAATCCTGCTGATTGGTGCATTTTACAATCCTCTTGTAAGACAGAAAAGTTCATGATTGGTGTGTTTTACAATCCTCTTGTAAGACAGAAAAGTTCCCCAAGTCCCCACTAGACCCAGGAAGTCCATCTGGCCTCACCTCTCAATCCTATACATGACATGAAAATACATATGCACAAAACATACACACACAAAGCATACATGCATCATGCATCTCCCCAAACACACACATACCACAGAAACATACACACGGGAACTCAGCTACCTGTCAAAAGTCTGAATGGTGATTGCCTCTGCAGTGAGTAGTTAGAAAAGTGAATTTTTTTTTCCAATAAATTGGAGTCCTTAAAAATCACTGTAAGATAGAAAATTTTTAAAAGTATATAAAATAAAATATGTATGTCCTTTGGCCTAGCATTTACACATGTAGGAATTTATCCTAGTGGAGTAATCAACGATATATGCAAAGATTTGGACAAGCATATTAAGCGCAGAATTATGTATGCATATATGTGTATATAGATATATATCTCATACATATAATAGCGTAAAAGTGAAAATAACTCAAATGTTCAAAATTGAGGATTAGTTAAACTATGATCTGTCCATATGTGACATACAAGTTAGCTGCCCCTTATTCTCTCGAGCTTCAACCTCCTACAAACAAACAGTGTCCCTTGTATATCAGTATTGGTACAGATAATCGAACTTACTGAGGTTTTATATGGGATAATAAAGGCAAAGGTTTATGAATACTCCATACTACACTATGTAGCAACACCTATTACAGACAAACTCTTCTCTTTCATTTCCCTTCCTCTCTGGAACCACTCGGCTGAATCTCTACAAGTCTCTATTGCAACTACCACAACATGGCACCCTCCCCGCATCTCCATCTTCCCCTGTCCTGAGAGCAAGGACCTGCTGCCCCTACACTCACATCCTCATTCATTCCAGAAGTCAGTACCACAGAAGTGCCCATAGTTACCCCAACCACCTTCTTAGAAGATAAGTTAGTGTTTGTTTTGACTTTTTAAAATGTTTACTTCCTCTTTTCCTTCACAATCTCATCCCATCCCAAGAGGTTTATCAAGAAGTTCTCTAAAGCTATGTGTCTCCTTACTGGGAATTTAACCGACAAATCAGGGATTTTTATTCTAGCCATCAAGGGAATAACATTTTTCCAGGTCTTTAGACAAATAGTGGAATACCTTGCAGTAATTAGATATCCTATTGTAGAGAAGTATTGATGAAATGGAATGATGTTTGAGATACCATATTGAGTAGAAAAGTCAAGATACATTAGGTGGGAAATGTACCTTGCAAAATAATTTGTCAGACACATTCTTGTATTTTTATGTTACATAAATGCATGTGTGAAGAAAGGCTACAAGATGAGACCACAGTCTTCGGTGAAGTTTAAGAGATCAGGCTGCAGCATGCTCAGAAAGCCCTGTGTTATAGTTTTTCCCGTAACTAAGGATGTGATCTTGGGTAAATTGTACATCCTCTTTAAACTGCGCTGCCTTTTGTCTGTAAAACAGGAAGGATGGTATTTACCCCCAGGGTCATCAAAGGATTTGGCTGGAGAAAAAGAAATAAATGGGCTGAGCCCAGACCTGGCACAGTGAGAGCATGGTGGTTGACTATTGTGCTGGCCTGTTGTTCCTGTGTTATTGACATGCTGCTGCTGGTGGTCCAGAAGCTATTACCTTAATTGGTTACGTGGATTTCCCTTCATACTGACCAGCTGTGTGTGGCGTTGTAAAACATAGCCATACATAGTAACTGACAAGGGCAAATACAATGGAAAAATGCAAGGAAATGCAGGTAAATAGCTAAGGGGCTGTAGAAGGAAGCTAGTCCTTGGAGGGCTTGATCAAGGAAGGTTCCTTTGCATGTCACCTTTGAAGAAGAGGGGACACAGAAGAGATATAGGGCACTGTCAGTGCATCCCGGAGTGTACCTGGAAGGGGACATGAAAGGAGAACATTTTTCTCTGGGACATGGGGACTCCACTTGCATGAACTCTGGGATTGGGGCAAAGAACCATCATGAGAACAAGGGCTTCCTTGAACCTCCCAGGCTCATTGGCTGATCTAAACCCTGTGTACCCTCTTTTCTTCACTCTCCTCTGTTTTCTATACCTCTGTTATTGGACTGGACCGGAAGCCACCTGATCTATCACAAGTGCCTTGAAATGTGTTGAATGGGTGTGGCACAGTCCTTAGCAGAGTGGCACTACCCCCACAGGAATTTGTTTATACCCTTGGCATGGAAAATAGCAGGAAATGAGTGATGACTGGTAACCGAGGATGCTATTTATTATTGGCTAAAGGAATACTGTGTTGTATTTGCATAGCCACTCACATGAGTTCCAGACCTAGCTCCTTCAGGTAAAGGATCCTGAGAACTGAAGGCAAACAGAGCTCCAGGAGTCCAAGACAGAGCCACAGACCACGAGGATCCCTGGCCCAGGTAGGTGGTCCTCCTGTGCTCGCTTTCAAGACCAACAGGCATGGATGGGGAAGTAGAGTAGCATCTGGCCATCTCGACCCTTGCTTTTTATCTCCACTGGAAGCACATCTGAATTTCTAAGTATGATCTTGGAGACCTGCCCAGAACACCTTGCTCTCAGCCCCAGTAGCAGCCTGCTCTCTCCCAGGAGGGCTTCCGCCAACAAGTAGGGCATTGCTGGAGGGCCAGGCAGACACTAGCTTAGGAAACCCGCAAACCCTGGAAATGCTGCTAGTCCCTTCTCTGAAGGCTCAGGAGACTGACTTCAGAGTCTAGAAAATATTGGTCCTTGGGAACAGATTTTGAGTGCAAAGAGATGGATTTCAGATGGCCAGATGCACTGCTTCTTTAGGGAGTTCCGTGAAAGCTCCCTGCATTTATCTTAATACAGATAATATCTTAATTTCATGAGTACCTCCCAGGAATGACCCCAGGTCCTCCAGCCTGTAAGCATCCTTCTGTCCTTGAGCAGCACCACAGTGTCTTTATGTCTTTGGATACCTGCATTTCTGTCAGACATCTCTTGCTCTGATGTTCCGGCTGCCACATTCTCAGTCAAGTGCCTCCAATGTTTTGTGTCCTTTAATTTACCCCAACATGACAAAGGCAGTTGTGCTTCATGTATTCAGGGATACTGTCAAACCACAAACAGGTTAAAATCAAATAGCAGATATCCCTGTCCTTAAAGATGCATCAGCTCTGCCCACCTGCTCCTGCTCACCGTCCTTATTGTTGAGTCCTGAAGACGCATCAGCTCTACCCACTTGCTCCTGCTCACCGTCCTTATTGTTGAGTCCTGAAGACGCATCAGCTCTACCCACTTGCTCCTGCTCACCGTCCTTATTGTTGAGTCCTGAAGCCCTTCCTTGTCATTTTTTTTTTTGCATGAACAATTTTGTTCCCTTTGTCTTGCTCCTAAACCATTCTCAAAGGATTGGGTTTGTACACAAACTGCCTATCTCTGCAATCTTAGAAGTCATATGATCCTGAACAAGTCACTTAACTTCAGATTTTTTATCTGTAAGATGGGAATACCAATTTTTGCTCTACTTCTGTCCTATGTTGGCCTGGGCTGATGTTGTGGAAAGCTCTTTGTCAACTGAGATAGGGTGTGCAGAATTTGTATATATAAATATATCTCCTCCAACCCCTCCCAATGAAGCAAGTCATGTGAGTCAATCCTATCCTAAGATATTAGGGATTGGGCCTCCTGGGACCTTTAGTGGCTTAGGTTTTCATGAAAAGAGGTTGCAGAGCAACTGCTTTTTGTTAGGCAAAGATTAGGCTACTGCAGAGACTCAGCAAACTTTTATAGAAGGTGTCAGACGGTAAGTACTTTAGGCTTTGCTGGCCAGATGATCTCTCAACTACTAAACCATGCTATTGTAGCCTCAGAGCAGCCACAGACAATATGTAAACAAGAGCATGGCTGTGCTTCAATAAAACTTTATTTAAAAAAACAGTCAGGGACTAGATTTGGCCAAGGGCCATAGTGTGCCAGCCCCAAGACTAGAGCAATGCACTTTTAACTTTTTTTATTTTATTTTTATAAAATGCCAAGATCCACAAAAATGCTACTGCACCCTGTGTGTTAGCACTGTGACTCACAGTTCGGAAAATTCTGCTTTGAAGGAGTGACAGGCAGGAGAGCATGGTCTGGCCCCTTGGGGCCTTTCTGGTTGCAGCAAGCATTTCTAACTAGAGAGCAAGGCCAGTGGTATGTTCAGCACCAGGGACATCCAGCAAGGTGTCCTGGGGTCAGAAGATGCCATAACTGGTCCCCTTTCTATCTCCTTAGGCCTTGGACTTCATTCCATTTTCTGATGAGTAATAACTCAACGTTGAAAATGTCCTTTGTGGGGGAGAACTCAGGAGTGAAAACGGGCTCTGAAGACTGGGAAAAAGATGAACCCCAGTGCTACTCAGAAGGTAAGGTTCTTGTAGAAATCCACCTCAGGGCCAAAGTGTAATTCCTAGAGCAGGACTTTGCTAGGTGCTGTGCACAGACCCAGCTGTTTCCTGCGGACCATGCACAGTCAGTGAGCTTTCAAACTTCCCTGGACAAATAACTGGACAAGAGAAATTCTGGAAGGGAAAAGGAAGCTTTGCTTCAGTGTCCAGGCACATAAGGTGGTAGATAAAAGGATCATCCTCACCTACAGATTTGGGGCTTTAGCATCCTGTTTGCCAACTGGATGGTTGCATATCCTTCAAAATGCATCTCTTCCCTCCCAACCTTCCCAAGTGGAAGAGAAACCTCTGATGAGAAGCGACTCTCTGAAGCTGGATTGAAAAAATGACCCAGGCACAGGGCATCTGAGTACTCCATGAGGAATGCAGTTGGGTGCTGCCCTTGGGGGACAATAGGAGGAGGCTTTTGACCCAATGACTGTCTACTGAGGTGTGAAGGGAGAGGCCTGTAGCATGCCAGAGGCCAAACCCCTGAGCCAGTTCATCTCTATTCTATGTTTTTGAAGAGGGAAGCTATGGTTTAATGTCATTACTATCATGCTGCTGTAGTATTTCTCAGCACATACACAGAAGAGGGAATTACATGGTCCTTGATACCCCTAAATCCTTGGAAAATCCCAATTGCATATGCTAACCTCACTGTGTCTGACTGCAGACCCGGCTGGAAGCCCCCTGGAACCAGGCCCAAGCCTCCCCTCCATGAATTTTGTTCACACAAGTAAGGCCCCAGGGTGAGGTGATGGCGGTGGCTGAGGTGCGAGGGTGGGGATGGGGGATGGCGCCATTGGGCCCTCTTAGAGGGTGGGAGAATTGTAGACTGGGGACACCTAAGGGTGCTGGATGGGGCTGAAGTCTTTCCTTTTCGGAAGCAAATCCCATCAGGAGAGAACTCTGGGAAAGATGAGCCCGGGGAGGGGCAGGTGATGCTCACCTGCTAAGAGGCACAGGGCAAGGAAGAGTTTGTGCCTGGGAACCTTCCAGGTGCCTCTTCTGATCATAGTCAAGAGACTGGAGACACAGACCCCCTCCCAACACTGATGACAAACAGCCACGTGGCCAGCGGGGGTGCAGGGACACCCACACCACTAAGGGCTCAGGGCGGTGCTTTCGGAGACTGAACCTTCCTCTCATGCTGCCATTTGAACACCACAACACCCCAGTAGGAAACTGTTAACATTACCACTGTTCAGGTGACACAGGTAGTCAGTGACAGATGTGGAGATTTAAAGGTACTATAACATCTGTCTGCTTGACTCAGGCTTAAGGCTCCCATCACCTCCTCTTCTCAGGAAAGAGTCAGGAGACCTCAGTCTGAGCCCCAGCTCTAGTGCAGGTGGATGCATGAATACTGAGCCTCACTGGTAAAGTGGCAGAGAGGACAAATGGGACCAGGTGTGTAAGGGCGCCTGGCACAGTAGGGGGAGGCTGCTGTCACTGCTCCACTGCTGCTGCTGCAGTTACCTTTGATGTTTTGGTTTTGTTGTAGTTACACCATTGCTGGCTTTGGATCTGCACTGTGTCCACTTCAGGTGGAACCAAGTGCACAAGCCTCTCTGTCGGGCTTGTCATGACTTCTCCTTGTCAGGGCTGGGATGTCCTTCAAATCTGGGAGAAGTGGTTCTCCAAGTCTGGTCCTCAAACGTCAGCAACATCAGCTCCTAGAAGTGTTAGGAATACAGATTCCCAGGCCCCACCAGAGACCTCCTGCATCAGAAACTCAGGGGGCTGAGGCTCTGGGGGCTGCTTTAACAAGCCTTCCAGGTTGTCGTGATGCATCTTGAAAGTCTGAGAGCTACTGCCCTGCAGAAAATTACTAGTGCCTTAAAGCTGGCGCTGGCACTGATGTTACTGCTGCTGTTGGAGTACAACTTCCCTACAGAAAACAACTGCCAGCACCTTAAAACCACTCACACCTTCAGAGTGGCTTTGAGAAAGATTTGGGGTCAAGGATCATGAGCAAGAACACCAATTAGGAGGACAGTGAACTGGTCTGCATGTGAGACGCTGAGATCCTATGTCAGGCTGTGATAGAAACAAAAGGAAAGAACAGCTTTAAGAAGCACTTAAGAGGTACAAAGTAAGATGATAGTGCTAGAAAAGTAGCTTCTTAAAAATAGCATTTTCCAGTCTCACCCTGGACTAAGTGAATGAGAATCTCAGGAGTGTGAGGCCCAGGTAGCCATGGTCTTAAAATACCACTCACCAGGTGATTCCCAGTGTGCACCAGGGTTGAGAGCCACAGGCTTAGGCGATGCCACTCAAAGGGTGTCCTCAGACCAGCAGCACCCACAGCTCTGAGAGCACATCAGAAAGGCAGTCTTGGCACCACCCCACCTGCTGAACCATAGTTTGCAGGTGATTTCTTGCACATTAAAGTGTGGGAAATGGAAAGGCTTAGAGTTCAGCTAGCTCAGTGACTCTCAGTCAGCCTGCACCTGCCCCATGAACTCAGACTGTCTGGGGTGGGCCCAGAAAAGCTCCCGAGGAGATTCTGATGGAGGGCAAGGGTGAGAACCATGGATCTCATCTGACCCCGTATCACTGGGGAGTTACTTAGGATCTTGCCTGGGGCCAGCCGTCTCTTCGATAGACGCTGAGAGTGTCCACGATGCTTGGGGCACTACAGGGTGGGAGGTGAAGGATCACAGGTGAGTCAGACAGGGAGCCTGCTCCTGGGGAGCTTACAGTGCTATAGGGCAGCAAGACAAGGACACCAATACCTGTAGGCAGGTACCACTGACGAGTGCAGAGCGCTGCAGCACCAGAGAGGAAGCCAGCCTGTGCAGAGGGGGCTGAGGAGGGCTGCAGGGAGGAGGTGGCAGGAGAGCCGGTGTTACAGGAGGAATCCTCCCGTCTCTCTAGGCATGAGGAGACCAGGAGGACATTCTACAATGAGAAACCCAGGCAGAGGCCGTGTGCTTATGGCATGGGGGGAGAATGGCACCTTAGAATTATTCTCTACATTCGAATTGCCTACCACAGATACCCATATTATAGCTTCCCATGGTGTGGTGGTTACTGTGTTGTCATATTGTCACATTTGCCATTTTCCAGCCACCCACCCATTCTTGACAGTCACTGGCCCAGCCTGGGGGCCCCTGCCCTTTATCAAACAAGTGCCTGAGCTCTTTGTGGAGGTGAGGGTCACCTGTCCAATCAGAGGTCAGGAGGGGAGGTTCCCTTTTAAGACCTTACTCTAGGCAGACCTGGCCCAAATGAGTTGCTAGGAGCCCACGCCCTAAGAACCCTCTGAGGACTGTTGTGGCTGGTCTTGCCGCTAGAAGTTCTTCCTCCAGGGCAAGGTGCAAGATTTGTGGCTTTTCAAAGGAGCCGCTAAAGCCCAACCTTGCACCGTGCTGGACTCCTGGAGGCTTCCTGCCTCCACCCCTCCCAACTCTCCCATCACCGCTCCCTTAGGCTGGCCAGTGCAGGGATCTGTCCCACTCCAGGCACTGCTGATGGAATGATGCCTCCAATCAGAGGGTGCAAAAAAAGAGAGTTAAGAAAAACAATGATTATAAAGAGTCCTTTTTATATGTCAGACATTTTCTTCGCTCAGGCTAAGTGCTACTTAATTTGAGTAAGCATTTTAGTTCTCATAACTCCTCTCTCAAGTAGGTGCTGTTATTACTCTCATTTCACAGATGAGGACATTGAGGTTTGGAGGGATTTAGTAACTTGTCCTCTGTCCTACAGCAGAGCTTGGATTTGAATCCATCTGTCCAAATCTGGAACCCATGTGCTTGCACAGAATGCTAAATTGCTTGTCCCAGTGACATAGAAAGCCCAGGAGTGGAAGAAATATTCAGTGGCTGTGATGTCTGAGCCCACAGGCAGGGTGGAGAGCTGAGGCTGGGGCCCTTGGATGTGGGGAAGAGAAGACTGAGTCTTTCATTTTCGATGTGAAGTATTGATATCTGGTGATATTGATCTAGGTCCAAAGGTGAAGAACTTAAACCCGAAGAAATTCAGCATTCATGACCAGGATCACAAAGTACTGGTCGTGGACTCTGGGAATCTCATAGCAGTTCCAGATAAAAACTACATACGCCCAGGTGACTCTCGGTTTTGGCTGTGTTTTCTGTCCCCACCCAGCAGGGGTAAGGCCTCCCTCCAGGTGGGCTCAGCTCCGTGCTATACCATACCCCATCTCCAGCAGGTGGTGGAAGCGGGGAGGAGAGGCCCCAGGGACTAGGGCATCAGAGGAAGGGTCTCTAGCGATGACCAGATCTGTAGCGATGACCAGAGTCTTTCTGGAAGGGTGGGAAAAAAGGAGGCAGACACTTAAGTTGTTGGAAGAAGAGGAAGCTTAAACCGGTGTGATGGAGGGAGATGTGGGCCACAGAGTCAAGGGGAGAGGGGCTGCGCACCAGGCCTGAAACCCCAGCAGACAGGAGGGACCTTTCCCTGCTCTCAGAATCCACACATGTTCTGACTGTCTTTTTCCAGAGATCTTCTTTGCGTTAGCCTCATCCTTGAGCTCAGCCTCTGCGGAGAAAGGAAGTCCAATTCTCCTGGGGGTCTCTAAAGGGGAGTTTTGTCTCTCCTGTGACAAGGATAAAGGATAAAGTCATCCATCCCTTCAGTTGAAGGTGAGAATTCTAGCTCAAATTCCTGTGCCTTTGGCTACTCCAAAGTAAAAGGCCAAGATCCTCAATGCCTCTCGCTTTTCTGCAAATTCTTATCTTGGCCAATATTACAGGGACATCCACCTTTCTGGAAGCACCAGGCAGAAGAGTCCCATACCTTCTTCTCTGGTTCCTTGCCCCTTCTAGGGAAGGAGGGACTCCACACAGCAGGGAGACAAGGAGGAACTGAGCACCCATTCTCCTCTCCTGGGCTCACCGGCCCTGGCCCTGGGCGGGCGGCGCTCCCCTCCTGCTGGGGCCCTCCATGTGGCAAGCAGCACAATTGGGTCAGGACCCTGGCTTGCTGCTGCGGGGCAGGAGGGTGTGAGGGAGCACTCGGAGGGCAGTGTGCCTGCTCTGCAAATTTCGTCCTGCATGGAGCATCCTTTCACTTGAGGGGAGAAATCTTAGGAAGCTCAACTGGATATAGATCTAGGCCATATTCCCTAAACGAACTTTAACAACTATAGAGCTGAGATTTTGGTGTCCATCTACTCTTACATCTCTCTCTTTGTCTCAATGTATTTTTAATTTGGGGGACAAGAGGGTATGGAAAAGAAGGCATGATTGCTTCTCATCCCTTAAATACCAGTACCAAGGCTGACACATCATCTTCCCCAAGGACCATCTGCCTTCCCTCTTCTCTTCCTCTCCTGCGTAAAGGCCCGGAGGATGAGCACATGTGCTGGGTTTTTCTGCCTCTCAAAGCCTGCGCTGTCTAATTAATCTCTTTTACCTCACAGAAGAAGAAACTGATGAAGCTGGCTGCCCTAAAGGAATCAGCACGCCGGCCCTTCATCTTTTATAGGGCTCAGGTGGGCTCCCGGAACATGCTGGAGTCGGCAGCTCACCCCGGATGGTTCATCTGCACCTCCTGCAATTGTAATGAACCTGTTGGAGTGACAGATAAATTTGAGAACAGGAAACACATTGAATTTTCATTTCAACCAGTTTGCAAAGCTGAAATGAGCCCCAGTGAGGTCAGCGATTAGGAAACTGCCCCATCAAATGCCTTCCTTGCTAACTCAAACTAGTTACATAAAACACAAAATCTGCTCACTAACCTTTATGTCAGTGGGTTTCATTTCTCATTCATACTTTAAGGATTTGTGTTTTTAGAATACAGCAAGAAGCTTGTTTAATTACAAAGTTCTGGGTTGGAAAGAGACCAGCTTCTGCTTGTGTACTGCTATCCTGAACCATCAGACATCCACGTGTGTGTCATATGCTATGATGTGGCCAGTCTGAGTGCGATACTTGCAGCAGGAAGGAGCAGCTGGGTGCATGCTGTGCTCTAGAATTAGTCCTTCCACTGGGGTTTGGTAAGTTCTGAGGGCATTGATCCTGGGGCAGAAGTGGCTGAGTCTGTGTCTAGGGTACAGTGTGCAAGAAAGAAATGTAACAGCAAGTCACGATCCAGCCAAGTGATAATGGAAAAGGGGTAGTTGGGTCCCAGATAAGGAGCAGGGTGACCTGACCTGTGGAAAAGACACAGAGACAAGGAATCTGGCTCAGATGATAGCCAGGAGACCAGGTGAGCAGCCAGTTAGTGTCTGGGAGGCCTGTCAACAGGGCATGGTCCTATCACTAAGCAGGGCTCAGATCCTCATAATGGGGGAGAGGAAGGCTGGTCAAACAGAAATCAGGGCCTGGAAACAGAATGAGGGGGTGGATATAGGGGACGGAGGCCTGAAAATTAGTTTATTACTTTTAGCTCTTCAGTTACAAGCAATAATAATCACTTCTAGCTTATTTAAGCAAAAAGTATACTATGAAAGGAGCTTTCTAGAAGGATATTGGGTATATTCATTTCTTAGTGCTGCTGTAACAAATTACCACCAACTTTGTGGTTTAAACAATGCAATGTATTATCTTACAATTATGGAGGTCAGTCTGGAATGTGTCTCACTGGGCCAAAATAAAAGAATCAGCAGGGTTGCAATGCTTCGGGGGGCTCTAGGGGAGAGTCAATTTCATTGTCTCTTCCAGCTTCCAGAGGCCACCTGCGTTCCTTGGCTAGTGGCCCACTCCCATCTTCGCTGCTTGGGTTTTTCTCACACTGCTTTACTCTGACCCTCCTGACTTCTTCTTTCACATATAATAACGCTTGCAATTTACACCAGGCCCACCTCAATATGCAGGATACTCTCACATCTCAAAGAAGCTTAACTTTAATCACAGATGCAAAGTCCCTTTTGCTGTGTAAGGTAACATATTCACAGGATGTGGAGATTAGAATGTGCACGTTTTTGGGGTGCCATTATTCTGCCTATCATGTGAAGTAACTTTCAAAATGGAAAAACATGCTGAAGAACAAGTCAGGGATTTCTGGCAGGCCAAAAATGACAGAAGCCAGAAAACGCTGGTCCCGTCACTCAGGTGGGTAAGAGCCAATCATGTTTTTTGTCAATTAGCAAAAGATTGAGACTCCAAACAAATGATGTGACTGCCCTAGTTTGAGTCATGTATGAACTCCTTGGTCAGTGAAGGGCAGCACACCTTGATCAATACTCCCTACAAGACTGTATCCAATGAGGCCAGTGATGTTCCTCAAAGCAGAGCTGGAGAGCTAATCCCAGGAGAGAGGCGTGTTGGTGGTGGGCAGGCAGACAAAGCTTAGCCATAAAGGAGGAGTAGGGACAGCACCCCAGGCATGGAGGCTCAAGTGAGATGACACCCATGGGAAGCTCTGACAAGGTCAGCGGCTTCTGTTTCTGATCCTGATGATGGTGATCAACACCAGCCCAGTGACAAAAAAGTACATAGTATATTTAGTAGATGTTCCCAACACAGAGAAATGGTAAATATTCAAGGCGATGAATACTCCAAACATTCTACCTTGATCATTACGCATTCAGTGCATGTAATGAATACTTGCATGTATGCCATAAATATGTGAAATATTATGTATGTATATAAAAGAAAAAAATGTGGCTAGGTGACACCGATACTTTGGAGAGGAAGGCATGTCTTCTTCATAATATCCCAAAACTATTTTCATGACAGAGACACAGCTATTCAAATTAGTCTCTGAGCCAGGGCTGTCTCATGGCAGTGAGGACTCTGGTTCCCTTACAGACTAGCAGAAAGAAGATGGGGCTTACTGACCATGGCCTTGAGGAGGCTGAACATGCAGGCCAAATGGAGACACAGACAGCCTGGGCTTGGTCCTGCTCCATCCCCTTCCAACCTGGTGACATATAGCGAGTCACTCTGGCATGGGTCACTCATGCTTCCTGTGAGCTTCCACCAAGGTAGCGAATGCATCAACACCTTACGGAAGCACAAGGCCCTGTGTACTGCTGACTTCACAAAAAGGCATGGTTGTGGTGATCACATACGTGTGTGCTATGCCATTGAATGCTGGAAACTTTTCTCACCCCAGCATTACCGACTCCCCTTTACCCAGTCTTATTGTTCTCACTGTAACACGCTATATAGTTTGCTTCTTACATTTATTGTTTGTGTCTCCCACTAGCATGTAAGTCCCACAAGTGCTTTGCTCTGTGATGTATGCCAAGAAACCACTGCAGCGCTTGGCCCTTGTAGGAACTCCATAAGATTTTTATAAATGAAGAAAGGAAGAAAAAAAAAAAAAAGAGAGGGAGGGAGAAAGGAAAGGAAGGCTTCTATTTAAATGATGGCCTTCTCCTTATTTCTATAGTAATATGAGTTCCCCTGCAAAGTAGATGCATTTTGGAAAAAGTGTATAAATAAACTCAGGTGGTTTTGAATTTCATTTTCCTAACTGTAATTGTAATCATGGATCTTTATGTTTAGTGAAAAAGTTTTGGCCCTTATGCCTTACATCTGAGAATCCCAAAGTATTGGTTTGTTAGGGCTCCCATAAAGAACCATAAACTGGGTGGTTTAAAACAACAGAAATTTATCGTCTCCTGGCTCAGGAGGCCAAAGTCTGAACTCCAGGTGTTGATTCATTCTGAGAGCTCTGACAGAGAATCTGTTCCAAGCCTCCCTTCAGTTTGTGGTAGCTCCAGAGTTCCTCGGCTAGTGGCAGCAAAACTCCAGTCTCTGCCCGCATTTTCACATGGCTGTCTTCTCTCTGTGTTTCTGTGTCCAGATTGTCCTATAAGGACAGAGTCATACTGAATTAGGGCTCGCTCGAATGACTTCATCTTAAGTTGATCTGTATCTGTAAAGACCTTATTTCCAAGTAAGGTCACATTCACAGCTACTGGGGGGTAGGACCTCAACATATCTTTTTGGGGGACATAATTCAACAATAATACCCAACGTGATAACTGTTCATCTCATGAAATTTAATGTCTCTCAAAAGGTGATCTCAGGGCATTTAATCTGTGGCAGAAACTCCCATAGGAAACATTCCAACCAGAGGCTCCTTTCACAGCTGGTCACTCCTCCTACCCCATCCGAGGTCCTGGGGCCGAGTGAGGCAGTGGGGACAAGAGGAAGGCTGTCTTGGGAGTAGAAAGAGAAGACCTTATTCACTCGGCCCTCTGTTCGTGAATGAGCTATCCAGCACAGGATATAATAAATAGCTTTAGGAATGGTAGACTCCCAACATTTTTTTGATCCCAATTATCCTAATCAATTAAACAAAGTCTAGAACATGTCTTGAAATGCGGGCATTGGTACATTATGAAACTTACACAGAATTTAAAAACTTAGAAGGACTAAATAAAATAGGAACTGACATCTAATATTTTCTTCCCACATTCCCATGCACTGTCTGGCTCAACCAACCCCAGCCCTCAATCTCATCCTGGTGGACACATGCCTAGTGATGTGATCAGCTGGTTCTCAGGGGGCTGGTGAAGATGGGTATACAGCTTTTGCCAATTTCCATGGCATACTCCACATACGGCCAATTTCAAACTACCAACATGAAGGCACAGACACAGAGTTTGGAAGAGATGTTAAGAATTGGCTATTGCAAGCTGATATAAGCTAGCTCCAGCACACCACCACCGCCACCTTTGAGCTCCTTGTGTTAGTACAGGGGTTGGTAAACTGCAGCCTAAAGGCCAAATACAGCTTGTTGCCTGTTTTGTGTATTTGCCAACACAGCCATGCTGTCTATGGCCTTTGTACTGTAACAACAGAGCATGTGGCAGGATATAAAGAATCTGGCACTCTATGAAACGTACTGACTCCTGCTCCACAGGAGAAGAGACCACAGATTGGCTTCAGCTTCCAAACATTCATCCCTGAGTCAGTCTAGAGCCTGAAATTTAGAGCCTGAAGCACAGTTTCCACCAGAGGGCTGAAATGCATGATAGTTGGGGTCTCCACCTCTCACCCAAAAGCCTACTCAATTTTTTACTGCAAAAACATGTTATCATCGTTATTTTTTACTTAGCCCACCTTTCCTTGGCAATTTTCCATAGGGAAATGCATTCTAAAGTTCAACTAATCAGGAGACTTGGAGCCTCTGGACACCCCCTTGTTCCTTGCCTGCAGTCCCTGGCAGAAGGTGCTTTATCAGAGAGGCTCCATGCAAGGGCTCAGGACAGGATCAGAGGTCAGTTGCCCCAAGGGGGCAGGGACAGCAGAGGGGACTGTTCAGTACCTTGTCATGGTCCTGGTGATTTCTGGTCCACGAGGGAATTTTCACATGCATTGGGTGATTGACAATCACCAATTGAGGGAGAATTTGTGTGCCCATTTTATAGCTGAGGAAACAGATGTAGAGACGTCAAGTAACTTTACTACAGTCATGTGGCTTTTAAGTGGCAGACTTTCAGGTGTTGTGACTCCTAGTCCAGAGTTCTTTGCACTGCCCCTGAGGTGCTAAAACTACTGTGCTATAAGACGCACTTGAGGGAGCTTCCTAAAAAGAGAGATTGCACAACCTGAGATTCTTGTTTAACTGTTTTGGGATGTAGCTCAGGGATTTAGCTGCCTTAAAAAAAAAAAAAAAAAACTTCCCAAGTAATTCTGATGCAAGTGGTTCTTTCTTGTTCACCCTTTGGAGAAACACTGCCTCCTCCCCATACATTTCATTAGAAAATGGTAACATGTTTTTCAGCCTCAGAGCCATTTCTGGGTGACTAGCCCACACTGGGTGACTGGACATTGGCA